AGGGAAGGGAGAGAAACCAAGACTAGAGGGAGGAGGGAAAAGAAATGATGAAAATGAAAGGAAGAGGAGAGGGAACACTACTGCTCAATCCCACCACACAGGAGCAAGAGAGCAGTACATCTGAGCACCAAAATGAAGGTTGATTGGGAGCAACAAGAGAGCAGCACAGGTTAGCAGCCAGAGCACAAGCTCTCTCTGCCGCTTCAGTGCGGACTGTGATTGCTAGTGGGGGCTGATGTCCCTGTGGCTGCTAACCTCACCTGTGCTACGAGCACAGATCTTGCCCGGGCACAGATCTGCCTAGCCAGGAGTCAATCACACCTCCTGGGTCATCACATCCTTCACAGCCACTGTTTTTACCTAGCCCGCTGTGAACATCTTGGGTCAAGAACAAATGCTAGATGTGTCTAAGTACACCATACAAGCCCTGGCCTCAGACATCACAACAGCCAGGTCGGCCCTAACCCTAGAGCTATAATTATAAGTGCTACTCTTAAATCTCATCACCATGGAGAATGGGAGGGGGTCAGGAGCAGAATGGGCCTGCTCCTGGGGACAGCTCCCTCGCAGAGGCACTAGTCAGTTCTTATACACCAAGGGCCAGACCCTAATCCAGCTAGTAGGTGCCTTCATGGACTTAGACACCCAATTGTGATCCTATTTTACCCTACTCAAGTACCTGAAAAACAATTCATGCAGAAAGCAGGTGGAGCCTCCCTCCTGCTCCTTGTGACTTAGTCTTCAGGCTGGAGTGATTAAAGTGGGCTTAATAGGTAAGGTAGGTTCTGCTAGACGCACACTATGGCAACACTACAGAGACGACTGGAATCGACCAAAGGAAACAAGAGGACCTGAACCGTGCATGACAGGAGCGCAGGGCACGCTGCAGGAGCCGTCGGAAATGACAGCAGAAACCAAGCGGCAGCCGGCAGAGCCAGGCGGGGAAGGATTTTTGCACATGTTCATTGAATTACTATAGACTAAAAATAGGCAAGCGGCAGGAGCCACGGAATGCCTCCGAGGCACGGTCTGAACCGATAGCTGCAAAAGAAAAGGATAATGTGGCAGGACAAGCAGGTGGGCTGCAGAGCTGCACAGATTGGTGAGGCAGGAAAGAAGGGATGAGTGGGAGGGGGGCAAAAGAAACACTAGGCACTGATGGCAAAGGAGGAGCTGAAACCTGATGAAAGGGGGGAGAAGGAAGGAGGGAAGGAAAATCAACAGTGTAGTGAAAGTGACCATTGCTCAGCTGATTCAGGGGGAGCGGGGAGACTGCTGCCATCACTCTCTTTGAAGGATCACAGAGCTGTGTGAAGCAATCTATGCTTGAACATTTTACAAGGTGTCCAGGAGCTGCTAGGGAAGAGCTGCAGTGCCCCAGCTCAGGAGAGAGGCTGTGGCACAAGGAGACCTTCTGCTCCTTGGCAAGGTTCTCAGCTGCTGCTGCTCAAGGGGCTCCATCTTCCTAACAGGGGGCTGATGAATGTGAAACCCATTTGGCTCCAGAAAAAAAATCAGGAGCTTGATTCTGTCCCTTCCCCACCCCAGGGGGTGGGATGGAAAAAGCATGGGTGGGAGAAAGGCAATGATTCTCCCTCAGCCCTCTGGCTGCCACTGAAGTGGGTGGCCTCATGGATGATCCCCCCTTCCAGCCTCTCTTCATGCTCTCCCCTCCCCTGGCTCTCGGCCTTGCCAAAATAGAGGAGCAGGAGTTCCCAGTTCTTGCCTGTTTCCCTACTGTCCACAGGGGTCTGCGCAGCAGCAACAAAACCAAGCAATCTCAGTAATTTCATGCTGCTACAGCTTTGGAAAAACAGCAGAGCGACAGGGTCTCTCCGCAGGCTTGGGCAGACCACAGCACAGTGGGTCACACTGGAACAGCTTTCTTTGCCAGCGCAGAAGCTGGACACTTAAGGTCTTTTAAACTAAAGTCCATGTCCACCAGACATCAACATCTCCGGTTCCCCTGCTCCATAATGTGCGCAAGGGACTGTTCACTCCTTGCCACTGGCTCTTGCAACCTCAGCTGGACACTGATTCCCTGCTGTCCCAAATGTGGGGAGCAATGGGGTTTACACAACACACCTGCAGAATCCCAAACCCAAATTTCTTTTGGACTTTCAGGTATGGGTCAGGATGCTGCAGATAGCCAGGGAGGAAGATAGGCCAGTTGTTACAGCACTAGCCCAGGATGTGGAGATCACTTAGCCTTTCTCCCCAGCTGTGTAATCCCTGCCTTGCTGGGTAAATGCATTAAAGCTGGTGCTTAGGTACTACAGTGATAGAGGTCACACAGGTACTGCAGACAGAACAGAGCTAACACAGAGAGACCACGCTGCTGGGCTCCGAGGCCATAACACAAGAGCAGAAGGATTTTCTGAACTGAGAGGCAATGTTTCTCTCTCTGGTCATGTAAACCCATACAGAGAAACCAGACAATGGCTCAAGCAGACGAAAAAGGGAAAGTAAGGGGGAGTGAAGGCTGCTTCACATGTCTAGAATGTGGCAGCTAGACAAATGCTTTCAAAAGTACCACCCAGCCCCCCAAAGCAAGTGTACCCTGTTTTCCCCAGTCTGATCCTATGACCCTGGCAGACTGGACAGTCAGAAGCACAGCTGGTTCTCACACCCTCACTGTATTTTCACCCCTGCAAGCACATGACACATTCACAATCAAGGCTCCTGACCCTGCAGGCCATTTCCTGCCTCCCACCAGCCACACTAGCTGATAAAGGAGGAATCCCCCAAAGACCATTTTCAGCACTGCTGCTCCTGCCTTCCTCAGGTGTGGTGGGAAAGCCAGATCCAATGCCCAGCTGCCCATGAATCCAATGAAATCTTCCAAGCACACAAGTATGCAGAGCACAGGGGTGGGGACACAATAGACAAGGACAGTTGAAGTTTCCTGACCCAAGCACAACCATGAAACAATCACTACCACTGTAAGTCAGGGTCCCCCAGGACATGGACTGTCAGGTGATTCACCACAGAGGCTTCTCCTCTCCCAGCTACTTCAGCTTTTGACACAAGTCCAACATGGAACCATTTCCATTCTAATCAGCTCCATGTCTGAAGCCATTATACCACTTGGCCCTAAGCCAAGCCTATATGAAAAAAAATGGACCAGGGGAGTCAGGCCCAACCTAGGCCCAATCCTTACACATAGCTGATGAGAAAAAATAACTTATTTCACCATGGATCACTGGATGCACTCAAAATTGCCACAACGAGGTGAACTCCAGCTGCAAAGTTACACAAAAGTTGTAGGTGCGTTTTGTAACATCTGCTTGCAAGGCTGGGAGCTTTACACAAGCAACATCTGGCCGAGTGACAGCAGCATACGCCTGCCGATGGAAATATGGGTTTAAGTTCAGCTTTAATGATCATTCAAGATAACGAAGAGAGCTTCAGGAAGAGCAGCTGCAAGAGCCCAGCTGAGGGAATATGCAGAAAGGGAGCAGCAGTCCCATGCAGTTAACCCCTCCACAACAACAGAAGAGCAAATGTCAGAGGGCCTTAAATGTCCTAATTGTCACTCGTTTCTGAAGTGACCAATTGTCAACTAACTTCTCCCATTCCCATAACCCTGTTACAGCTAATGTTTGTGACTCAGGGTTCTTGCTCTGTTTCCCAATTCCTGCCTAGACCAAAAATGTCAGGTGAAAAGCACTAGACACGGGTTTCTCTCATTTATCTAGAAGCAGGACACAAATTATCTGTCATCAGGAAGACTATTCGGAGATCCTCAGCTCGATCTGATGTGTGGATAAAAAAAGCATGGTCTGGTGCTTATTTCTGCACAGCAAGATTCACCCCCAACATTCATTCGCTGGATACTGCCTGCAGCAGATGTAACCTTCATTTCAAATGCCTCAAGGCCAGTTTGTGAAAGACAAATCCAGAATTTCTTGAACAGGGCAAATGCAAAAGTCATGAGGAAAGCTGCTAAACCTGCTAGCCAGCAAGTAGAAGGTAACATCAATACCAGCACTTGGGAGACTGGGACCTGGCGTACAGAGAGTGAACCTCTGTAGCCTCAGCAAGGCTCTGTTTCCACAAATCCTCTCCCATAGATTCCTGGTGCATGCCCCACTTCTAGATCTACAAATGTCCAGGTGAAATCCACTCCCTTCCCCCCATGAAACCCTAGCTGCTTCCTGCTGCCATAGGAAAGGAGTAAACTTACAGGTCTGGCCTGAACTCGGCCCTCCACTTCCAAAATTGACACACTTCTATGTAGCCAAAGGACAACAGCAGGCTCCGAGTTGGGGGTGACATGCCTTCACGTCAGACACAAACAGAGGTTCAGTGTAATGACGCTTGTATCAGGAGAAAACAGAGCTCTGCATTCCCTGATAAACAGTCAGAGGGATGCTGGGGTCCAGTAACTGCTAAAGACCAAGCCTCCTGAACTGGGAACATAAACAAGCTCCTTGCGCAGAAGCACAGATGAGTGCCGATTGCTTGGCTGGACAATAACAAATGAAAGGCCCTGATCTTCTGTAGGCTCTGTTCTTAAGAGCTCTGATGGGGCTAACTACCCAGCCAGAGACTCATGTTGTTCATGTGGACATGGCATAGATCTGGCTGTATGATCAAAGTCAAGTTTGAAGGTGTGGAAGGCCCCTCATTGAGTTTTCTCCTTTCCCTTCTTTAAATGATTAACTCTTGGACAAAAGTGCACACAACATGCTAGACATTTTAGTGCGCAAGCTGGGCAATGACATAAGACAATACAGTCAGTGCAGACCTTTGCATGCTGTTGGATCTACTGTGCCACCCTTGAGTTGTGCCCTTGAAACTACCATGGTCTCAGCTAATATCCTGCACAATACCCCCAAGCCCTCCTATGCCTAGAAGACTGGTGCTAACATAGAGAGCAAGGGACAGGAATGTTATACACGCTTTGCAACCACCACCCTGGCTGGGAAGGGGGATCATTATAAAGGCACAGTCTATCCATGATGGAAAAAGGGAAAACCAGCTCAGACAGCACTTACCATCTTCCGTTTCCTGCCAGACAATGCCCTCCAGGTTGACGCTGGTCCCGGGTTCACAGGGGCCCAGACATTCTGGCTCAGTAGCCAATGCTACATCGCATGTGTTCACCCCCACCGAGCGGGTGCGTACCATGATCTGCTCACATGGGGAGGAGATGTCATTATTGACAACAGGGACGAGGAGGTGCAGTGGCAGTACCGCGGGGGTGGAGACCGGAGACTCCATCTGTGGGGAAAGAGAAATATGCTCGTTAGAACTGGAGAATGTGCAGAGGAGAAAGCAGAGCGACAGGCCTCCCTCCCACACTCTTGACACAACAGTGCAGGTCCCTACCCCTTATTCCTATGCTGCTGTAAGAGCCTCCCTGTTTGCTAGCAGGGGCTTCATATCCCAAACATCCTAAACTACAGACCAAGGACCTGGTAAGACTCTTCCAGCCCCAATTTGGCCATGATTCCTGTATCACCAAAAAGCTACCCTTTTTATAGCATCCATCTAGGTCAAACCTAATGTGCTCCAGCCAGAGACCCATGCTCACTTGCTCAGCTGTAGCAGCTCTCACTCACCTGAGCATCCATCCTAAAACTTCAGTGACATGAACAGTCTTCAGAGCACCAGATCCCCCACATTGCTTGCTTTGTTAAGAGGCATAAAGGCAGGCAGAATGACCCTGCATCTAACAGCCCTCTAATGGCACCACAGGACACTACCAGGCTGGCAGAGAAGGGCAGGACAGGGAAGGCAGCCAGTACCTTCAGCTGCCCACTTGATAATCACAGCCTCCCTCCAGCTCCCCTCAAGGATAGATGGACTCCCAGCTACCTACATGGTGGCTGCTTGTAGACTGCATCCCAAATATCCCCTTTCTATGCCAAGATGCATGCAGGACCCATCCAGGCAGAAAACGGCCAGAGGAGATCTGATGGCAGAGCTGAATGGCTGCAGGCAAGGTCACTATCAGTCATCTTGCTTCCCTTGCACTCAAAAGCAGCTTCCTCAGTGCCAGAGCTAGGCTAGGTCTTTGTAGAAAGCAAACAGCTCAGCCGAACAGGGCTGAGTACAGCCAAGCCTTGGGACCTCCTCCACCCCACCTTCAATAAGCCAGATTCTGGGCAGCTGTGATGCTGACACTCACTCAGGATAGGCAAGTGGACTAATGAGCCACCCCACCAAGTATTCACTGGTCTAGTGTCATGCAATGAAAGGGAGCAGCTGGGCCTCAGAGGCTGCTATATATCAGAGCCCTGCCCACAATGCCAGCCCAAGGGGAGCACAAATACATACATCTCCATTGCTGGGAGAGTTCAGATCATCATCTTAACCCTGACCAGAGAAGAGCCATTCCCACCCGCCCTGAATCAAGCCCCCAGCCACAGAGACTCACAGCAGTACTCACGCCAACTATTTAAACTCTGCTTAGCCCTCCTCCCCCAGGGCAGGCCTTCTGATCTTGGTTGGATGCTGAGCAGGCTCAAAGCAGCTGCAGGCAGTACTGCTGCTTCAGTCACCAGTGAGTTCAGACACGGGAATACAAGGCACTCAGGGGAAGAGTCCCCCCAGCATCCAGCTCTGAATTATGTCAAAAGATGCCCCTGTCACAGTCTGCTGCTTGGCACAAACCTATCGTGGCCCTGGGAGCAGTGCCTGAAGCTAGATGCAGGGAAAGCTTGGCTGGCCATAGCCAGCCCCAGAAAGGCGGAAGCAAATAACTCCAAGCCACTCGCCAGGAGGTGTCCTGGCACCACAAGCATTTCCAACCGCAGAGTCATCGCTATATGTGGAACAATGCTGTCGACAGCCACAAAATGTTCACACTCCCATTCAGACTAATTCTGGGCCCTGAACAACTGCCAAAACATTAGCCTTATCTGCTTGTTCTCTCTCTCACGCACACACAGAGTCCTTCACTAAGCCTGCCTTTTTATGAAGCAATTAGCTGGAGTGGAAGCCTTCGTGTTGAATCTTGTCTGTCACATCAGCTCTACCAAGCTCTTGTGTGCTCCCACGTGACCTCCGCAGGCTGTGTGGCCAGAGCTCCCCATCTCTCACACCCAGCCCTCCAGGTCAGAGATGTGTGTGCAGATTCAGTCAGTAACTAGCACTCTGCCAAGCACCCCTGGAGTCCCAGTGTGCACAAGCTGAGCGAGGGGTGGGAGAAGAAACCAGCTGGCATGCTGTAGTGCCCCTCTGAAGGAGCAGGATGTGAAGGGACTATTTCAAAGGCAGTGGATTGCCCTAACTCCCCCACCACCCAAAGGCACAATGGTGGTAAAAGCACAAGCTTGTTCCATGCTAACAGAGGAAACAACCATGACCCTTGTTACCAGGGGTCTCATGGAGCGGAGCGACGGGAATAGATTTGCCATTCCAGCCATGGTTGTTTTCACAGCAGCGTACAGAGTGTCTTCTGCCTGCTCGCCTGCAGTCAGCTCCTTGTCGTCCTGCGTATGTCCTCTGTCTGGACAGCTCGTCAGAGCAAATCCAGTCCAATAAGCATTAAAGCCAACCTAGAGGTTTAATCAACAGTGACTGAACCACACGTCTCTCCCTAGCCAGCAGCAGAGCCCACGCCTGTGTGCTGTCTCTTCCCCAGGCTCCTTTCCCAATCTGACACCAGCCCTGGACTCCCACCGGAAAGATCAGATCCATCAGGATCTCATTCCTTGGCTTTCATGTCCTAGCATTGGCTCAGAGAGGCACTCGCTGTGGCCAATGCTTATAGTGCCCGAGCCCATTTCATTCCCATTTCACAGGGCAGGATTTGAGATGCAGGAATTGTGCCTGCAAGGGAAGAAAAAACAAGCCTGGGGGTGCTGCACTGCCTATGCTGCCCAAGAGGTAGCACTGGTCCCCATGAAGGGAAGGGGACCTCCCTGCACACCCACAGCTGGTCCCTTGGGGCATTGCTGGGACCTAGGGAAGGAGCTCCAGAAAGCACTTGGCTCCTGAAAACCAAGCTCCCTGAAGCTTGAAGTGGCTGCCTCCAACTCCAATCTGCTTAGCAACTTAAAGCCAATCTCCTGGAGTGAATATCTGGAGAGGAACCATGTATAGCTGGCTCTACTCGGATGACAGCAGCAAGCCTGGAAGAAAGTGAGTGTTGGGGGAACGGTCACCCCCAAGCGCCCCTGACTCACCAGTGCCTGGGAGCAGTGGCTGATTGCTTGTTTGTGTGTGCAGCGGAAAGGAAGGGGCACCTGGGGGTTTTGAAACTGCTCGGCTTCCTTCCACTTTGCAACAGAAACCACAGTGCAGCACAGGAGCGTTTAATTACAGTTCCAGCTCTGCTAATTATTGCTTGGTCACATTTGTAATCTGCATTACGCCACAGTGCATAATAAGCAGCTCGCTGAGATCTATCTAATAAGTGAGGCGGCTTTATGGGATTTCATATTTCACTCTGCACTGGAACAAATACAGCCTCATTTATCAGCCATCAGGAGGAGAGGGAAACCAGGAAAGGAAGCTGCTCGCTCCACTACTTGCCTGAAGCTTCAGGCTAAGGGAAGAGAGGGGAGGGGAGGGGAGGGGGAGAAAAAAAACCCTGAGAGGAAGGATCCAGGGGCTGAGGAGAACAAAGCCTCCAGCAGGGAGACGGGCAGGCAGGTAGCCTGATGCTAGGGGCAGGTTTGGAACAAAGCTGAGAAACGGGGCAGAGGTGAAAAGAGAAGAAGATCAATCCCTGAATTCACCCAGCCCATCTGTCTTATCTCTCAGAGACAGAGCTTTTCATCCTGCTTCTTTATCAAGCCTAACACAAGGTGAGGGGATTCGCCTGCTGGTCACAGTATAAGCCTGGGGCAGACAGCGTGTGAACAGGGATTGATGTGAGAAAGGAAAGAACCAGGGACTCATTAGTCTCACCATGTGAAGTAATTACACAGTGTCCTCCCTTCCCCAGCGTAGCAATGGCACCAGGCACAGACGTCCTTTCACATTCAGCCAGGCCAGCGGCAGCCAGACACAAAGCGAGGACCCGCCAGCAGGCAGCACCGGGGGGAGACCGAGCACCGCTCTCAGCTCCGGCTAGTCACACACCTGGTTCCCTCAGCCCGGCTGTTCCTATCTGCAGCCCTTCCAAGCTAGTCACTGGTTCACAACACACATCCCCAGGCTGGGAGATGTAATGGAGAGATACAAGCCCATTACGTATCTCTCACACCGGCAACCCTGAAGCTATCACTTCAAAGCCTCCTCAAAACTACCTACATCTTCCCCTCAAGACTGCCGGGAATGGGTGTTTTGGGGCCTGCAAGGGAGGTTCTGCTGCTCACAATGTCCCTCTGCTTTTAGCTCCCAGACAATGTCTCTGGGCCTCAATTCCCCAGGGTAAAACAGGGGTGATATTCCACTACCCACAGGGGAGGGAGGAGAAGGATAAAACCATTGGTGTTTGTAAGGGTAATGTAAAGAGTCTCCCCATCAGGGCTCCTCTGCTCAGCCTGGGATTCAGGCAGCCCTTGCGTCGTAGATGTGCAGGAGCTGCAGTGTGCATGGTGGGGGGTGTCCTTGTGCATGTATGTGCATGTCTGTGTCCCGCAGCCTCAACAAGCAAACTGCTTTGTGTTTACAGGTAAGACTTTACTCTTCTTCATTGTAAGGGAAGCACAGGGCCCAGTACACCGCCAGGAGCCCACACAACTAATCAGCAGCAGGGGCGGTGCAGAAACCACTGGAGGCAAAGAAAACAGGACAGAAAATAAAGCCCTATGTTCTGTAAAATGAGTGTAAAACCAGGACCAAAGGGTGAGAGGGCCCTTCAAACCTCCCCCCCTGTGGCAGGCTTGGCTCTGAGTTGAAAAGCTGCCAGAAGCCCTGCATGCCTGCAATACAAGGGAGGGGTCACATCTCACTGCCTTGCTCATCCACACCCCAGTACCCCACCTTCTTTGCAAGCAAACACTCTGGTGGGGGTATTGCAAGGGGCAACCTCTAAACCTGACCAGAAGAGAGCTGCTTGCTAGGGCTCTGAGAAACAGCACTGTTCCTTTTCGACTAGCGTTTCGCCGGAACGGCATTCCGTTTCGAATTTGGTTTCGATTCGAAATTGCTGTTCTGTTAGGTTTCGTCGAAACAGTTTCACCATTTCAGCGCTGTTTCGACACTTCACCCATAGGCTATAATGGGGAAGGTCAAAACAGCCTATATAACTTTGTCGCTTCTGGCCTGGTTTGAATGAAACTTGCAGGTATGGTAGCCCCTTCTGAGGGCATGAAGCCTGCCAG